AGACTGAACTGTGTAGAAAATTTCATCGCGATTGGACTCTCCTTTCAAAAGTTATCGTGTTAACGGCCGGACGGCCGGACACACTGACCGATTCTAGAGTGTACTCACTTTTTGAGTACACAAAAAAGGGTGTAGGTAGCGGCTGAAATGCATTTCTACCCATATTCGCACGACCCACACCACACACACCCACATCCTTTTCTTTGATATGCTGTGCCGACGAAGTGTCGTTCGACAAACAACATATCATTCGTTACCAAGTGTATCATATACATCAAATCTTGCACCGTAACTCGATAGAATTGAATCACTTAGGAAAGAACCGAACATAACAAGAAAATTGAAGAATTATTTATTCATCTGAAAATTTCGATCTTTAGCTGCTTCATGTGCCAGTGTTGATTTTCTAATCTTCGACGCATTTGGACCTGCTTTCGAACGTAAAAGTTCTTGTACAACTTTAGAATTTCCAGATAAACAAGCATTATGCAATGCCTGTACGTTTTGTTTTCTGTGGAACATCTGAAAATATGAACGTTTTCATGAATCATCATTCATAGTTTTTGCTCCATCACACATTCGTACATCAGCTCCATCTTGAATAAGACCCGAGCAAAACTCTTTGTATTTTTGGAAATCATTACATGCATGGACTAAAATTGGGCCATCATCTTGTGTTCAATTATTGACATGAGCACCCATTTCAAGCAACTTTTTAGAGCACGTCTTATAGCGATCGGTTACTTTGATAAAAGAATAGTAAACTGCATCTAAAATACAATCTTTTAGCGTCATTTCTACGAAATTAACGTTTCAAACACAACATAGTCTAATGCTATCTGTTTTGGGATAGATATATATATGTTAAGCATGTGTTCTACTGAATTCTAATGCAATGAAATCAGGCAATAGGAAAGCAAAGTATTCAATATATGAACGTTACTGGCTCATCAACATCTGTGACAATGTGGAATCTCATTGAATACAAAATTATTACATTTGAACTCGTTCCACATCCATACCGACGATATTTTCAATGAAACCTCTTATGTCTGTCTTGTTAATCATTTCGATGAAATAACATACATTTCTTGCTTATTTAGAATAAAACAACTAGCACGACCTATATATTTCTCCCAGCATCTGAATAATGATTGAATGAAAATCTAATAATAACTGACTTTTCGATTACCAATAGCAAGCGTCATGTCAGACGTGAATGGAAACTTTGTTAAGACGTGGTACATGTCTGCAATGTACTCGTGTTCAGGATGTTTAACATCTTTCGTAATCATGTACTTCAAAATTTTCTGTCAGCTCTATGATCAAGCATTTCTCGCCTACCTGTAATATCTTTGGGTGAATTAGGGTAAGGACAGAAGTAGTAGTGTCCGAATTTCTACTCCTACACTTTAACATTCCTTTTACGTTGCATTTGTTTTTTCAAATAGTTGCTTTCTTTTCAAAATCCAAAACACTTTTGTTACATTTTCCTTCAAAATCTTGCATCGTTGGATCAGCTTCTGCTTCACGTATCAATTGTATAACAATAATATGACCATGTTCAGCAGCATGCTTAAGTGCTTTACGAGCAAGAAAAACAATAACATTAGGATGAACATCGAGTTTTAATAGACATTTTATCGTGCTTGTATTATTTTGGGTAACAGTCATTCTAGATAAAGATTTATGAACTTATTTGTTTATTTATAATTTATGTCTTTACATCAATGCAGTCATTCCATTTTGTGGATCATTCTAATTTATAAGATTTTAAACATCTTTCTCAAATAATATTTATACGAGTAAATAGAATATCAAAATATAGTCGAACAAATAAGATTTATTCTTTTGCATGTTTTGAATAGAAAAACAATTTGAAATTTACTTGAATGAATAGTTGCTATTCAGATTATTTTGTGTTATCTTTCTTGGAACACACAAACGACTAATGCATTGTCGCTAGTTATCAATCAATGAAGTATATGAGAGCGTATTCGGAAATCATGCATTCCTTTTCTTTTGATGAAATATCTTGAATGCCACATATGCTAACATTGGAAGAAAATATTATCAGAATGATTATGGATTGATCAGATGATTTTCGAGCAGTTTCTATACGAAGGAAAATAATACCAAATCAGTTTCAAGTAAACGGAAAAGAATCGGATATTTGTTTCTAGAACTTCCATCAACGTTTTTGTTTATTGTCCTCGAAATAAGTTGATCGTTTAAATATAAATTGTAGATCTTTTTTTGTATCGATATCATCTTTATTCTCTATCTTTTGATGGCATCTCAGGTAAGATTCTATACAATATATATCATATTATAGTTATATATCTATCTTCAGATCGAAGAACTAAAATCTAAAGCCAATGCTGCTTTTTCGGCTGGTGAAAATGATAAAGCAATTAATTTATATACTCAAGCAATAGCTCTCGACGAGAAAAATGATGAACTTTACAGTAATCGTTCAGCTGCTTATGCTAAATTAAATAAATATGAATATGCATTGAAAGATGCCGAAAAATGTATTGCACTCAAACCTGATTTTGTTCAAGTAAAAAACATAGTTTCCAAGATTGAAAGGTAGAGAATAAGAAGGCGAAATTTTCTTTTTTAGGGATATTCAAGAAAGGAAGCTGCATTATTATTTCTGAATCAATACTACGACCCAGCACGTGTTTATAAAGCGGGTCTTAAAATCGATTCAAACAATGAACAATTACTTAGTGATCTAGAAAAAGTACGAAAATATGCAAATAATAAACCAATAGCTGATGAAATAGGTTTCTTCTCTGATCCACAATTCATACAACAACTTGTTACAAATCCGAAAGCTCAACAAATTCTACAAGATCTTGAGACAGCTAGACTTATGAAACTATTACAAGATTAACCAAATAATGTCACGTATGTTATTCATATAGCATAGTCTCAATGTAAAAGTATACTAGTTTATTTTATTTAGATTATTTGCTAATCCAAAAGTACTAAAATTAATTGGAACTGTACTTGACACGGGCACGAGCACTGTAAATCGACATGGCAATAAAAAAGCAACGAATACAAAAAAACAAACAACAACGACAACTACAAATGAACAACAAAATGAAACTTTAACACCAGAACAAAAACAAGTAATAAAATATATAGAATAGTTTATACACAACTAGATGATAAACACAATCCATCAAACTTCTAGCATATAGACTTAATTAGAAATTAAGATCAAAAAGACTAGCTCAGTCATAATCACTTGAGTTGAAGACGAGTTATTATATATCATGAGTCGTCTTACTATGAATTCTATCATTCAACAAGAAGTAAGAATAATTATCTCATTAATCTATCATTATGCTCAATAGTCATATAAAAACAAAACTAAGTATTGATAGCGTCATCAAATGATAAAATCTTTTTCCTTCTTGCATTAGATAAGTCAGAGTTACAAAGATTATCATCAAACTTAATTAACCAAAATTACTATAATAAAATACACTTCTTCGTTGAAGTTACTATGCGGATTATCGTATTAGGCCGACGAATAAAAGAAGAAGGGTAATGAAGCATACAAGAAAAAAGATTTTCAAGCAGCATTAAATTATTATAACAAAGCAACGGAACTCGATCCAAATAATATGATCTATTATACCAATAGAGCAGGTTAGGATTGAAATGTTGGGTTTTGTTTTTTTTAATTTCCACACATTTGATCAAATATGTTCTTTTCTAGCTGTTTATTTTGAACAAAAACGATGGGACGATTGTATAAAAGAATGTGAAAAAGCTATAGATCTTGGAGGCGAAAATAAAGCTGATTATAAATTTATTGCCAAGTAAGAATGAAAGAAACGTAAAGAATATTGTTTGTGTACTATTTCGTTCGTAGAGCTTATGCTCGTATAGGAAATGTAAAAGTACAAGAAAAAAACTCTCAAGAAGCTATTAAATATTTGAATCGATCACTTTTGAAAGATCGAAATCCGGATACAATAAAAAGAAAGCAAGAAATTGAAAAAATCCTTAGAGAACAAGAAGAACTAGCTTATATTAATCCAAAATTAGCTGAACAAGAAAAGACTAAAGGAAATGAATTTTTTCAAAAAGCTGATTATCCAAGTGCACTTAAACATTATACGTAAAGTCAACTGTTTTAATGTCTATTGAACATACCATTTCTTCAATTATTCATATGCTGTAGTGAAGCTATTAAAAGAAATCCATCAGACACAAGACTTTATTCGAATCGAGCAACTTGTTTTATATAACTAATGGAATTCGGATTATCACTGAAAGACAGTGAAGAAGGAATTAGAATTGATCCATCATTTGGTAAGTTTTCACAACATGAACGAATCGACAGTTAAGGGCCCCCCCCCCCCCCCCCCCACGAACTAACGCACNTCGTCAGAATCATCGAAATTGAGAAAAATGCATAGGAAGATAGCCCGTGATCTGCTCTTTCATATACGATAAAAATTTTTATTCAGCATCTCTTCTTTTTCAAAAGTTTTGGAAGATTTTCGTCACCCTCTATTCGAAAAACAGGCCGTTTTTACAAAAAACCGAAAATCGTTTTTCATTTTTCTCAGAAGGTAGGTTCGACGACGTAGCGCCACCGCCATTCGACTACTGTTCAATATAAAGTCATATATTTTTTTTTGTTTGAAAGCTCGTATTTAGGGCTAGCCTCTCTCGTGGCCCGATTTTTAAAATAAGCTTTTTATTATTATATAAGAACACATCTTCATAGAAAAAGCGCCATTTTTTCGGGTTTCTTTTGAGTCATTGAACTTGTCACTCCTTTTCTTCGCTTAAAAAGTAAGAATTTAGAAAAAAGGGCCACGAGAGGGGCTAGCCCTAGAGACAAGCTTCCAAACAAAAAAAAAATATATGTATATAATGAGAGTCCACAGAGAAATTTTGGCACTGAAATGAGCAATTTTTGACCCGTGTTTGGTTCATATCTCTGTTAAACGTCAAGGTATCGAGCTGAAAATTTTACCACAGCATTCTCACTTCAGCCCCAACATATGCTCCAAATTTCAGCCCATTTGAACGTACCTGGGCTGATATCGATTTTTGAGGGGGGGGGGGGAGGCCTTAAATAGGTCAGAGTTACAAAGATTACCATCAAATCTGCTTAACCCAAACTACTAAAATAAAATATACTTCATTGAAATTACTATGCGAGTTATCAATCACACTTGAATGTACATGTTGTTCGAGAGAAAATCCACATGTTTACATTGTTGCTCACTGAAAATATGAAATTTTTTTATTATCTAGTTATCTATGGTGTATTCTAAATCTATACTCTTTTTTTCCATTTATTTTCGTTCAATTGTTATCGTATTAGGCCGACGAACAAAAGAAGAAAGGTAATGAAGCATACAAGAAAAAAGATTTTCAAGCAGCATTAAATTATTATAACAAAGCAACGGAACTCGATCCAAATAATATGATCTATTATACCAATAGAGCAGGTTAAGATTGAAATATTTGATTTTTTTTTTTTTTTTTAATTTTCATATATTTGATCAAATATGTTATTTTTTTAGCTGTTTATTTTGAACAAAAACGATGGGATGATTGTATAAAAGAATGTGAAAAAGCTATAGATATTGGACGCGAAAATAAAGCTGATTATAAATTTATTGCCAAGTAAGAATGAAAGAAACGTAAAGAATATTGTTTGTGTACTATTTCGTTCGTAGAGCTTATGCTCGTATGGGAAATGTAAAAGTACAAGAAAAAAACTATCAAGGAGCTATTAAATATTTCAATCGATCACTTTTGGAAGATCGAAATCCGGATATAATAAAAAGAAAACAAGAAATTGAAAAGATCCTTAGAGAACAAGAAGAACTAGCTTATATTAATCCAGAATTAGCTGAACAAGAAAAGATTAAAGGACATGAATTTTTTCAACAAGCTGATTATCCAAGTGCACTTAAACATTATACGTAAAGTTAACTGTTTTAATGTCTATTGAACATACCATTTCTTCAATTATTCATATGTTGTAGTGACGCTATTAAAAGAAATCCATCAGATGCAAGACTTTATTCGAATCGAGCAGCTTGTTTTATAAAACTAATGGAATTCGGATTAGCATTGAAAGACAGTGAAGAAGGAATTAGAATTGATCCAACATTTGGTAAGTTTTCACAACATGAACAAATCGACAATTAAGCAGTTTGATATTTTATAGTTGAATGCTATGTTCATAAGGGTCATGCTTTAATGGCTATAAAAGATTTTTCTCAGGCTATGACTGCCTTTAGTAAAGCTCTTGAAATTCATCCAAATAATCAAGTAAAGAAAGAAATAAAAGAAATTTTATTTTGATCACAAATATAAATAATGTGTGTTTAGGAAGCAATGGAAGGTTATCAACAATGTACAATTGGATCAAGTGATGATTCTGAAGAAGTTCGTAAACGTGCACTCGCTGATCCTGAAATTCAACAAATTCTTGGTGATCCCAGTATGTGTTTAATACTTGACCAAATGCAAAATGAACCTCTAGCAATACGTGAACATTTACGAAATCCTGTTATCGCACAAAAAATTCAAAAATTAATGAATGCTGGTATTATTGCTATTCATCATGTTTAATGCGACTCATGCAATGAAGTTTCATTTTTTACGTGTGAATGTGTAGCGAAAAAAAAAATAAGAATAAGCTTTAAATTCTTTTTTTTCTATAGTTCATAACTTTTTTTATATGGCTTGTGTTACATCAGTGATTTGCAATTTCTTAGACAATTTTTATAAATCATCTAATCAATAAATCAATATCGATCTGGATAGAATTGATAAAACTATTGAAATCACTAGTTGCATTGCATGGTTAATAAATCTAGTGCTGAATTTTAAATTGTTCAGGTATTGTTTTACGTTTGTGTGTATAGTGACTTCAAAAAAAAGATGACAAGCAATGATATTTTAATAAATAGTTGCTATCAATTCATATGTTCTGATCAGCTACATCGATAATGTAGTCTATTAATATGGAAATAATAAAACAAAACTCTTTGTTGGTCTCATAAAATATAATTCTCGTAACAAAATAAAAATCAGCAGTTATAAATGTTTTATGTTATCAAATATTTTGAACAACAATAATAAAGAGAGAAATAATCTTATTCTTTCTTTCGTTCATTTAATTATTTGTTTATTGTCGATTTAGAATATAAAAATAAGTATATTATTATTCTCATTTGGCGATCATTAACAATATCGGTCAAATAAACAAAATGGGCATGTTTATATTTATACGTTAGCGTCCAATATAGGATTGGCGCAATTCTTTTTGGTAAAGCATCAATTATAATCTTTAGTTAAATGTTGGATTCGAAGTCTTTTTTGGATTTGTGTTGAGACAATGCCATTTCAGTATTGCAATCATCTATGAAGAAGCTAAGTTCAAACTCAAAAACTTAATAACAGTTTCTCATAAAAGCTGTTGTTCCGTAAAAAAATATTCATAATTTCACAAATTCATTTTTAATCTCTTCAATGACAACTGTGTTCCCTGAAATACCATTGTCTCAGCTCAGTTCCTAAAAAGAATTCGAATCTAACGTCTATCGAAAGATTAATTGACATTTTAACAAAAAGAATTGCATCAATCCGGCATTGGACGCTAACTTATATATATATATGTGTATTCATATCTGGAAGACACAAAAATACATCGAAGCATAGATAAATATGGAACATATATCGATTAAAATAAATGATTTACCAGATGAAATTCTTATAATTATTTTGGAAAAATTGTCCAATATCGAAGTACTCTATATTTTAAGGCCCCCCCCCCCCCTCAAAAAAAGTCAATTTCCGTCAAAAATTTCAAAATTGAGATAAATGCATGGAAAGATAGCCTGTCTTTAGATCTTTCAGAAACGACATTGGTTTTTCGTTGGCATCTCTTTTTTGGCCAAGATTTTCGATGATTTTCATTGACCTCTTCTTGAAAAATATACTTATTTTTAAAAAAACGAAAAATATTTTTCGTTTTTTCTCGGTTTATGATTTTTTGATCTTGGTACAAAGATTTCTCAGTCCAGGCTCAGTAAATATATTTAAATTTTTTTTGTTTGAAAGAGCGCGTCGAGATGCAGGTCACTACAGAGTCCTTTTTTTAATTAAGCTTTGTTTTTTATTATATATACAGACACTTATGTGACTGGACACCCATTTTTGGCGCCTTTTTTGAGTCATTGGACTTACGAGCCCCTTTCTCCGCGAAAAAAGTAAGAATCTTAAAAAAAGGACTCTGTAGTGCCCTGCATCCTGACATGCTCTTTCTAACAAAAAAAAAATTTAAATATGTTGGACGGATCCGGACTGAGAAATCCTTGTACCAAAATGACCTATTTTTGACCCTTGTTGGGTGAATATCTCAGTCAAACGTTGTGGTATCGAGCTGAAAATTTTACCACAGCCTACCCACATCAGCCCCAACATATGCTCCAAATTTCAGCCCATTTGAACGTACCTGGACTGAGATCGATTTTTGAGTGGGGGGGGGNGAACGGACAGTGAGCGGGATGCATTTTTGGGGGGGGGGGGGGGGGCTTAATAGATATTAATAAACGACTGAATACAATAGCACATGATTCAATTTTTACAAGTCATTTAACATTAATTTGTTTTTTGAATGATTTCACCGATCCACTGCCTGATCGATTTTGTTTACAAATTTTACCTGAAATTCATCATAAAGTCAAATGACTTGATCTTGAATCAATATCTATGGAATGTATTCTTCTTGTTTCAAATTATCCTAATTTATATGAACTTGGTTTATATGGTACTGATATAAGAAAAGCTATGTCTCTAGTTACTATTAGTAAGTTACTTTACTTGAATTATTTTAATTTTAAATAAATGAGAAGTAAATAAAAATTCAGCATTATTTCTTTTATTATATTTATAATATACAGTACATCTCAAAAGTTTTGTACCACTTTTTTGTTTTGAGTCATGCATTAAAACTACACAACATTAATTTAATTTGTCTATATGCGTGTATCATATAGGTCGAATATTATATCTCTCTATATATATATCTGTTAAATACGAAAAGCTCTTGAATATAAAATACAATAACAACAAAAAGAACTTCAATGCTAAGAAAAAAATGCCATAAAAAACTATAAAATAATAATAAAAATGTCTGGAGGACTTTGTGTAGCAATAGAAATTGTTTATACGGATTTTATCATTTGTCTATGCAGAGATATTCGAAAAATAAACTGCGTGGCAAACATTTTGGGACACTCTTTATTTCAGTGTTTAATATTTTGACGATAATATCATAAATTCTTAATAAAATCCAAAATATTTTTTTTAACCAAAATGATCAGCAGAAAAGCTCTATAAAGTCTAAAAAAATGAAAAGTTTTCTGAATACTTTCTGCTTTTGTAATTGACTTTTCATCGAATTATTCTATACCAATAATNCTTTTTTCTTCTAACAAGGAGGATATTTGATTTTTAAATATTCAATTAAACCTTTTGTCAGTGTTACATTAGTTTCATATAAAGTAGTCACATTTGAATTGTTTAATTGTGTAATATCTCGTAAATATACTAGTGTTGCCACATTAATAATTTAGTTCTATTTACTGAGCAGAGTACTAACATTTTTTGGAGGACCACTTCTCTTAAATTATCTTGTGATTGACATCTGAAAAACAGTGCCTACTTATGTATAATCTTTAGTTCCACAATTGAAACATTTTTTTTCTTATAGTCTCAAATTCGTATACTTGTACTCGCAAGATATGTTACGATTTAAGCTACAATAATACTTTTGTGCATTTTATTATAAAGCACTGATGAATCATCAATTTTTGAACAAGATAAACAGGCAGGCTATCATGTTTAAGAAAGTTGTTTTCTCCAAGGATTAGCCAATGGTTCTCCAACGAATACACCTTGAAAGACTTGTAGAATGCTTTTCCAATAGGATTCAATGAGTGTTTCACCTTTGGTATAATGTTGTATCGTAAACTGTGGATTAGGAAACTTCTGAGTCCAGGAACATGGCTCACTGACCGTGCCAAATGATCTGGTAGCACCACCAGCAATAAATTCTAGAGCCGACATCTGAGATGAGTCGGTGAGCATCCCACCATATGATGTCAAATGATCCGCCACCGCGCCTGGTGGATATTTATTTGTTGCGATATCATTAACAGCATGTAAGCCTTGAAAATAGAAAAGTACATCTGTAGTTTCTGAAATTGTGTTGGCTGTCACAACTAAACATTGACATATGGACTCAACGTTTTTCCTAGGTAGCCACGAGGAAAGACTTTGACACGAACACTTCTGACAGAACCATTTGGATACGTTCCACTGATGCAATTCCTCGATCGATCAATGCTTTGGCTTGATCGACATTCTTTCCTGCAATCATCATGGCTGGACGTATTTTAAAATCAGTGAACGGTTGTGTCGAATTGGAATGGTAGTAGGGTGAGTTAGCAGCCCAGTCGCAGGTTCCTGTTTTACAAGGACTTCTACTTGGAATCCGAATGTAAAAGCGGAAGTAATTGACTTGCATTCGACACCATAAGGAATTGTCCATGCAATTGCTAGAGCTTGAACAGTTGTTGGTATTTTTTCATCAACTTTGTTCTTCAATGGCATAAATTCGTTATTAGTCAATCTGGTTACCTTTGAAAAATTAAGATGAACTATATTCTCAGAAGGAATCTGACGACGTATTCGATAATATTCGGCTACAGCAATACTATCTGGTTCATTATCATTTACCAGAAGCCCAAGTTGGTAAGGTTGAAGTCCACTCCATCGACCAACTGTGATTGAAACGGTAGGTGTTACTGCCAGCAAACCAGTCTTTAAGCGTGCAAACACTTTAAAATAATAAGTAGATCCATTGTTGAGATTAGTGACTGTGGATGAAGTAATCTCGGAGCCAAGCATATCGACATATATATTGGAACCAGAACCATATTCTAAAACGTAGCCTATAGCCTCAGATACTTTATTCCAAGCGAGAACCACTTGTCGATCACCTGCCACTATCTGTTTAATCGTGAATTCATTTGATGATGGGATAGCTGAAGGAAAAAAACAAAAATCAAGTCATAATGTTTTTCTCAATTCTCTAGATTGATCTTAATCAAATTTTCAGTCGTCATTGAATTTCTTCATTGTCTAATCGAATACTGATTGGTGGAATAGTTGCCGGTTGAAGAGTTTTAGTTTGAATTAATTTCAACTATGCATAATGGGAAGTTTTTTAAATAGTTTTATATGATAGATTTGCATTCATCACTCAAAATGTTGACTTAAAACTTTGCATAGGAAAGCAACTTAGAATGTTGTCTCTGTTAAACTTCTATTTCTACATCGCGAATCACGTACAATTCGTTACATTCTTCTTACTTTCTGCTTTGATAACACTAGCAACAATTAATAAGCAGTTTAGAACATATGTCAGAAACAGGACAAATTTCATTTTGAAGCGGTTTGAAGTTGATGCTAGTAATTACTAATACTATTAAAAAGCATGCCTAGTTTTTATAGTCTCGACTAGAGACCCATTCATTTTCAATTTTGCTGCACAATACTTTTAGGGATTAGGCGAAATAAACACGATAAGAATAGAAGACATTAGATACCAGGCATGAAATGAAAATCGATACCAAATATACTATTTATTACATTCACCTAGCGAGAAAAATGAAGAACAGCCATCTTTCGGTTTTCATGATATAAACGGTACTCTATGTGGAAGGCATGAAAAGTGAAGGGTAAGTAAAGTACAAAATAAGTACATGTTTAGTATTGAGAAATGTGAGAATGAAGGTTTTATTGGAGTTGAATAGGTATGGTGATCACTGTGAGTTAAGGTGCCTAGGCTGGTCGGTGCAGACTTTTTCTGTCCCTATAACGTCGCTTCTGGAAATAGTCACAATAGATTCTACTGTTTCTCTGTGAAAAATCGATTACTACCATACAACACTTTCAATCACAATAACTATCTTATAGCTTTACCGAACCATGATTCCATTGCGATGCACAACTATGAAAGTAGTCAAACACAACGTTTTGCATTAAATCATAATGTATATACAACAACTGTCACCGCCATTGTGTTTTTGATGCAGAAACTTTGTGAGTGTAGCTGTGAATGTAGGTGTTGGTATGGTTCTTCTCTTTACCAACACGCATTAAAAGATGAAAACCAACATTTGCACTAGTTTCCATAAATTATTGATGCATAAAGTTTAACTTAATCATAACCAAAACAAGCACAAAATCCAAGATGTTAATCGAGATTCTCGACCCGAGAACCGATGAATTGTTTGTACGAACTAGAACACTATTGTGTAGTCTTTCATTTCGTTGATCATTTTCGTTATTATAAATCGGGGGTTGTGCTTGATAAATGTGATTGTGATCACCATCGTCAATATTTTTCCTCAGTGTTTCTTTCATCATCTCTTAGGCTTTCTGTCCTCATATTAGAATTCATGAAATACGTATATGGTAATGTCATTTCTGGTGAACATCACAATCAATAACTAAGATTTCTTTTACCTGAATGTTTTTTCAAATAAAAAAAATGATATCTGGTTGAATTGCATTACTAGTGAGCTCTATTCCTGTTGTGAATTCATTCTTCTTATCTCCTAAGACACATTCTAACTAAATGACAAGTCTAAGTTAAACTTAAAATAAAGCCAAATTAGTCAATAAGAATCATTTATTATCAAGAATAAATGTTTCCTTTTGAATTGACTTAAACTCTCAGAGTTAGATCTCGATTCTGTTTACGACAAATCTCACTTTAAACGGTGGACATCGAGGTATGTGAGAGGCGATTGTCTTAGAATTAAAGTGTGCTATTTTAATATTGATAATTAAATTCTCAAGTAAATCTTTAACTTCAATAAATTCACCGAAGTATTTAAAACCTATAATACTACTTTTAATCAAAATCGATTACTCTGTAAAAAACTTGACTACACGTCGTCCAGACAACAAACTTCAGCCTGGTCTGATAGGTCGGCAGCTCTGATCCACACCTACACTCTCTCATTTTGTAAAATTGATCTATAAACTTTCTATGCTATGAGACTTTCTATCTATAAAATAAGTAGCCATCTATAAGTGCACGAAAACTAAGCTAACAATAAGATAAGAAAACGTAAAACGATCAATTACGAATAACAGAATTTCTAGGATCTGATATAATTCATTACTTGAAGATGTTAGATGGGCATGAGTATGGATTTTCTCTTCGCTCACGCATTTAATTTTTAAATGATCTTTTGTGTGTGGATGTTTGTCTCATTTCGTCCATATCTATACCTTATTGAGAGGAGGAAAGTCAATGTGTGAGCCATTCAAATCAAGTAGCACGTTCAACTTCTTTTCTATGAGGTACATTTTTTCCAAGATCATCTCCACTAGACTTCTTCCTTTTCACGAAAAATATTCTTGTGGCCCTTTACACGTGATAAAATATTGATTGATTTGTTTCTCGTGCGACGAAACCATGGCAAAGTTTACCATGCATATTTTATTTCATCAATACATTTTAAAGATATCATAGTTAATAATAAATTATTTAAATACATTAGAACTTAATTTTGAAACTTATAGTCTTCTAAATTATTGTAGATAAAAAATATAAAGCTTTATTTCTTGTTTGTGAGATAATTCAGAAATATGCGAAAAACGAGATTAAACAACAAAAAGAAAAAAAAAACAGTTTATTAAACGGATTAGCACTGTAAAAAAAAGAGAGAACAGAGGCATTGAAAATAGTTTTGTACAAAAAAAAATGATGACAATGAGCCGTATTCATAAATTTTTGTTTATTTTATAATATTTAATCCAATCATATGATTTTCACACATAAATGAATAATATTTTATTGCAATATTCAATTCGTAACAATCAGATTCTTGTTCATCATCCAATAGGTTAAAAGAATAATTTTATCATGATTTTTTATTCATTGAACATAAATCACAACTAAAACAAAACTATCAAAACTAATAAATTATTTTTCATTTTTATTTTAAATACTTCAATTAATAAATCAATCGTCTATATGTATAATAAAAGTGCCTATTTCAGTGATTCTTATTCTAATTTTTTTTTTCTAAATAATTTTCCTTTAAATGTTGTCTAGATGCATGTACAGATTTTATTCGAACTTTTAAATTAAAATTCGATCATTATCTCGACCTAACTCATAGTCGAATACAACATGTATATGTCTTTTTGTTAATAAAACAACCTTTCATGTAAATTGATAAAGCTACTGAAATTGTTAAAAAATAATTTGAATCAGGGAATGACGATAGGACAATAACTTTTTCTAAATTAATGATTACTACTTTCCATAATTTTTTAAAAAAGAAATTTAACTACAGCTAAAACTACTATAAATTCTATAGTGCATTAAATTGGACAAACACACACAAGCGGTAGGGCAATGGCAATATGGGGATGGCTCGAAAAATAAATTTCAAATAGTGATGGGATGGTCTCATGTCCTGGAGATTTTTTTTCGATTTTTCTAAGCAAAAATGAACGGAAACGAGTTTATACTATGTTGGATGATCGCAGAAAGTGTGTTCTCCCTATAATCGTCCGCTTCACTTCGGTTTTCGCTGACAAAATATAAATTCAGGGTGTGATCTGTAAATGTTTTAAGTATCTGCATCTTTCCAAGCCTAACAACTACGATATTTTTATATTCAAACTTTTTCATTATGAACAGTAAGATGAGAAATAGATCGCAAGTATTTCAAATTAAGATAATTTTTCAAATGGAATAGAAGCAGTTTTCTTCAAACACTTCCTAAACTACGAGAGTGGATTATGGGTCTTTTCTTCACCCCTGCCTACTCTTATATAAGATAATCAACCTTTGAAATTAACTTTAATGTTTGTCACTACTACCTTCATCAATGACAAAAACTTACTCCTGATAATACAGAACGCGGAAAAGCAAAGATTTAAAATCCGCATTCTGATTCAATGCCCATATCCGAAATACATTTGTTCAAAAAGTTAGTGAAACTTGTCTTTTTTCAGTCTATTATAAGTACACTAACCGCTGTGTAATTCTATTCCTGGAAATTATTGAATAGTCCTACATATTGATTAAAATTACGTAAAACTAAAATAGAAATATTCGGTAGCTGATCATCTGAACTGTTTGCTTGTATTCTATGATAGTCAACAAAAACTTTTCAAAATATGCTAAGCTTTAGCTTCAAATTTTTTCGATCGAGTTTTTCACAGTTATTTTTATTTAAATTTGTCATAAAAACCAATAACAACGAATAAAACTTTTTTTTTGTCATCAATGACTCAATTGAGACACAACATCTCAATTTTTAATGGTTGAAATAAAATGCTATAGTGATGCGTTCTGAACTTACAGAAAAAGACGTCCATCATATATCCGACTTCACATTATTATTGACTTCAGTGACAATACTTTTTGTTCACTATCTATAATCGTACTGTTTCGAAGAAGAGCATTTTTATTTATATATGAACAAAAATCTTAAAGCGAATAACTGTAAATTTTCGGTCAAGATTTTAAGCCAACTTCACAAATGTTTGCATATGGTTCTCAACCGCATTCTCATTATTTGTCTGGCATCGCTTTCAAAAAGTAAAAGGTCAAATTATAATAACAAAAATAGTAGTCGTGATGAAAAATAAGATTGAAAAATCAATCTACTAGTATTATATTACCGGCCATATAATGATGATTTAATTATGCTGCTTATTCTCGTTCATCTCACAGTTTACGTTAAAAATATTTGTTTTAGCTCTGTCGTGACCGACCTGGATCGAGACATTTAGGTCTCATTATTTCATCCTCGAAAAAGAGAAGGGCAAGAAGTAAATATAAAAAAAAACTGATTGCAATCAAAGGCAATTTTGGCCGTCGTTAAAATTTCAGATTTTTTCTCCTTGCATTTAATTGATGTTAAAAATAATTATTATAAATTTTCACATGAAAAGTAATCACAAAAACGAAGACTAGTTTTAAATGATGTGTTTAATATGTTTTACATTACGTCTAGATGAAATGTACTCTCTCAAGGACTTCTTGACACAGTCGAGTATGGTACATTTTCGCCTGACAACTACAAGTAAATCTGAATATATGGTTGTTTTCTTTGAAAAAGATTGTTTCTGAGATCTAAGAGAGTCAATATAACGAAGGTACTATTAAAATTAATACTGTGCGTACCAAATAATAGAAAAGGAGAAAAAAATCATTTTTATATTTTAATAACTGAGTTCAAGAAAAAGCAGGTAGAAAACTGCACTTATTGATTTTTCTTTGAACGTGTACAATAGATACATAGTATTGTAATTGTGTTTATAGGATGGATCCATATTCTTTTTAAATTTTTCAGTTAACATATCTCATAGCATTACTTTGTGGTGTAGAGTAATAAAAAAAAACACACACACGTCCAATATATGTATATACAAAAAACTATATAAGTATTTTATAATTGCATTCTCTTCTCTCATTTCCATGCACTCTTTACAGGTATGCTATCGATTTTTCTAGCGTTATTTACCATCGTTCTTGACATTTTTACACGGTAAATTTGATAAACAAACATTTTCTTTTCATTTTTTATGTAAGACACAGGTAAGTAGTCAAATATGATAGCAATCATCGACGAAGACTCGCATGGCAAAATACAAATGTATTGAAATAAGTTGACTCATAATATTTTCTAACATTCATGCAATGGGTAGTCAATTGATTTTTGTGATCCATTATAAAGTCAATATTTAGAATTTTTTCAAAGGTTTAAAACATAAAAAAATTGTTATGATGATGTCTTGTTAGAAAATTATGAAATTTAAGCGAAATATATGTCGAACATAAATAATTCTGCTAAGATCGTTGATAAAAAATAAAAGGTATTTCAAAACCGTTTGTTGAAGAAGTTTCTCGAAATCAGAATTAAGTTCAGCAATCGAAAGTAAAACTTTCATGGTTGATGTTTAATTTTTTCTTATCTTTTCTTCTTATCTTATGCTTGGTTCCTCACTTGTCGTGTTCTATTCAATATATAAAGAACATTCGAATATTGATCGTGCATCATCAATATTATTAAATACAATAACTTTTTCATCATTAGTAGTTTCAATATTCATCTTCAAATAAATATGATACTATATTTATTTTAATTGACATTTGCATGTTTATTATTAGATTGAATCATACTAATGGCACCTATAGATATCAATCGATTGAAAACATTTTTTCTACCACATGGTCTCATATATATATTTTTGGGTCTAATAATCGTGTGTCTTACTATCTTAACTATCGTCTATGCTAGTTTATGGCATAGTGCTAACATTTCTTCAAATACTTTTGCAGTTAAAAATGGAATTATTGGTTATCCTGTTCGTTTACCAAATGATGGTCGATATGTTCAATGGAACTTCTTACATATGAATGATGTTTATGAATTATTACCACTTTATAGAGGACAAAGAGGTGGTTTAGCTCGTGTTGCTTTTATGAGACAATTATTAAAACAAGAAAATTCAAATACTTATACAATCCTTGGTGGTGATCTTGTTTCTCCATCAGCTATAAGTGTATCAACATTTAATGGAACAACTTTAAATGGAAAACAAATGATTGCAACAATGAATACATTGGGACTTGATTTTATGACATTTGGAAATCATGAATTTGATTTATCTGAAATAAATTTACTTACTCGAATGAATGAATCCAAATTTACTTGGATTAGTACAAATATATTTCGAAAAGATAGTAATCAAACATTTGGATCGAGTATTTCTCATAAAATAATTACTATTGATACTGTTCGAATTCTTTTCATTGGTTTAACTATTGATGGAACTAGTAATTATGTTCGAATAATCAATCAATCATCATTAGTCAATTATGTTCAAGAATATTTAAGATTATTTTCAAATGGAACATATGATGTACTTGTTGCTATTACTCATTTATCTATGGCAACAGATATTGAACTTGTTTCAAATATTCCACAAATTGATCTTATTATTGGTGGACATGAACATGAAAATTATTATTATTTAAGAGGAACAAAATATATACCAATCTATAAAGCAGATGGTAATGCTTTTACTGTTTATATACATCGTTGTGCTTATAATTTGGATACAAAACGTCTTCGTATTTATAGTACTTTAGTACCAGTAACATCTGATGTACCAGAAGAAGAAAACACAGCAGCCGTAGCGAATTATTGGTTTAATTTAGGTATTCAAGGATTTAAAGCATTAGGCTATGAACCAAATGCAATTGTATCATGTCTACCAATCGGTATTGAATTAGATGGTAGAGCTCAATCTTGTAAAAGTTATGTAACATCTTTAACTGCTGCAATATGTGAAAGTTTGTTACTATTAACAGTAGAAAATAAAACTACTATTGGCATATTTAATGGAGGAACAGTGCGTATTGATGATATTCTTCGTGAAACAATTACACAATATGATATTTTACGTACATTACCTTTTCCAGATCGTGTTGTTGCTCTGTCTGTTCCTGGTCAATTACTTGCTCAAGTTCTCACTACTGGTATGTCTTTCAAAGGATATGGAATGTTTATTGCTTATACGAGAGTAGAAACATTAGATGATGGTAAGACATGGTTATTCAATGGAACAGATATATCAAAAAGTGGTCTTTATTATAATGTGGCAACACTAGTATATTTACGAGATATTACACAATTAAACAATTCAAATGTGACTACTTTATATGAAACTAATGTAACACTGACAAAAGGTTTAATTGAATATTTAAAAATCAAATATCCTCCTTGTTAGAAGAAAAAAGTAAAATAGATTGTATATTTAAAAGTTGAGTAAAAAGTATCTGTAAACTCTTTTCTAGGAGTGGGTGTTTCTTTTCTTTTTACCCACACCCCGTCTGGTGAACAAGCAATGACTAGATCGTTAGCCTAGATCTATGAACTATGGAGTGCGTGACGTTGATATAGGTGTAAATGTTTTCTCTCTTACATTGACACCCACCATAATAACCAACTGACATAGTAACCAATCAATTTGGTACTAGATTTATTCATATTAATAATATTTTTTATATAGAATAGATGATCTTTTTTCTGGATCCTTTTCGCTCATGAATTCATTCAATGATATTGGAGTTGGTAATAAAATCTTTCGACAGAGTTTGAATCAGAAAAAATTGTCATCCACCAAAACATATTTGGCGAAAATGGACTGACTGGTTGCTTATCTAATGTCTGCTGACTTATTCTCACTTTAGTAAAACTTCCAACTGTAACCAGATGCATACTATAATTTAAATGATATCGTTTTGATTTGAAATTGTTCCTATGTCTAGGATACATTCATAGAAAAATTTGTTATACTTGAGATACTAAATTTGCAAAGTCACTCTAGAAAAGTGCTCTAATAAATGCTGAGATCATATTTTTTTGCTATATATTTTCGTAGAAAATCCTTTTATTATTCAGAGAATCTCTACCTTGGAAAATACATATAATATTCAAGTCAAATTTTATTTCTGTTGATTTTAAAAGAAGTTTTGAAAAGTTAATATGAAAAATTCAGCGTCATATGTAGATGTTGTGTCTTGTTCTAAATCAACAGTGATTGTTGCATTTTCAGAAGTTCATCAAATTTCCATATACATTGTTATTTGTGTCAGAATAATCACCATCTGACCATATTTTTCCATGATGGTTATTTGGAAGACCTTCGTTCTTTTTCAATTCTTCTAATTTTCGTCCCCAGTCTCGAGCTGCCAAAGCTGTACCAAAATATGCATTAAATGCTTTTGCTGTTGCTGCTGTCAATGTATTGCCACCTGTTTGTAGAACTGTTGAGATACCCCTAGGATCCACGAATTCGCAATTCAAGGAAATTCGAGAAAATCAACCAACCCAACACACGTACATAAGATATTACATTACCCGCCTTCACTAGGATAGAATTCTGACAAATTCCAAAAAATAAAGCAATTCAAGAGACTGAAAGCAATATCCAGCGCATCATATAACTTTCAATTATATCCCATGAAAGTATCGTGGAATTGAAGGAAATTCAAGGAATTCAACGAAATTCAAGAAACTCAATACATCCATATAATTTTCAGTTATATCCCTGGAAGGTAGTATGGAATTCAAGAAATTCACGAAAATCAACGGATCATATAACTATGAATTGCATCCCTTAAAAGTGTCAAGAAATTCAAGGAAACAGAGGAAATTTTGGTGTGGATGTGGGTGGGCTGAGGGTGGGGTGTGGATGTGGGAGAAGAGATAACTTTAACACTCACATCCACACCGTACACCCGCCCTTACTATCTACCATGGTTCAATTCCTTGAATTGCCTTCAGTTTTCTTCAATTTCTACAATTGCTTGATTTCCTTGAATTCCATGGCACTTCCAGGGGATATAATTCAAAGATATATGGATACGTTGAATTCCTTGAATTGCTGAGATTTTCTTGAATTGCCAATTTTTGGATCGTAGGTACTGCTGGAACTGTTGACTTTTCATTAGCATTTCTCACCATAGTGTCTGAATCAGAATGTTGCTGAACATTAATCAAAACAACTTGTCCCACAATGATGACAATTACGAAGAATGCAAGAGGTGAAATAATTTCTGTGAATGAATATTAAATGGTGACCGTGCAATAAGAAGACTAATGTAGACGGGGAGAATATTTATAGTTCTGTTTTAAAACGGAAAGTCATTTTCTTGTTAATGTCTCACTGAAATATTCTGTAACCTAAAATCTTCACAATGTAATGTAAATGTGGTCTAGTTTTCAAGGTAGTACTCATAGAATTAGTAGCCATGAAATTTGATTCCTTCAAGGTTTTTTATTGTCTTATTTCTGCGAAAACCAACATTTACTAGAAAATGTATAGGTAAAAATTAGTTTTGTCATGGAAGTGGAGCAGAAAATGTTGAAAAAAATTACTTTATTCTTTTTGGGTCACCTGTTGCATATTGTGGCAGCATAATCGTAGTAGTTACATCGCCGATTTTTTAATGTGATTACTGTTACATCTCATCTTTCATCTGTTAAGTCTGAGTTTATCAATGAAAACCTCAACATTGCATAAAATAATTTATAGAGGATTGAATGCTTACAAAATTCACATTAACAGTCAAACTGCATTCGACAAGAATCTAATCAATCAACGTCATCATTTGATCATTTCTACGATGATCATTCGCTTCTCGTATCTGAACTGATCTTAAAAACAATCATATCAACATTTGTACAAATCTCACTTTGAATTCGAACAGTACGCAAAAATTTTCTTCGGCCTACAGTTTACGTTTTCAACAAAAGCCGAGTCGTCAGAGACTTTTTCTGAAAAACTGATCCTCACAAAGACTGCATTTTATTGTCACTTGATAAGCACGGATGATTGTGGTATATACTCTGTTTTTTTAAACTACATTTGTTAAATGTAAACTAGGATGGGGTGTGGATGTGAATCTTGCCTTGAATGACACCCACACCCTATATGGGGGTAAAATCTTATCGCCAATGGCGAATATACAATTGGCGAAATTACAGAGACTCTCCTCTATGACAATACTGTTTTAGTTAACTTTTCCCATCAATAATATAAAAAGTGATTCGTTTCCGATATTGGAATTAATAATTATTTCTCATAATGCTTAAGTGCTACGAGTGATCGATCAACAATACAAAACACCTCTACTCTTTGAAATTCAACAAAACAGATTTGGTCTAGTCTAGTCTCATTTTACGATTTGCGATGTATGATGATATCTTAGTCGTTGTTTCAAAACTCTATTCTCCTCATATACCTGTTCCTATCATCAGAGATCATCATAATTATATTGGTTATCGTAGATGTTGATGTGTTATTTTGAATTTCGATCTTTTCAGACGTATAAGAATTAACTGTCAAGATGAACTCATAATAGCGAAAGCAGCTGATACATGAAATGAAGTTTACAATACTTTGAAAAAATCTAAATATATTATAAATGTCGGCATATGTTCAATAATGGGAGTTGAATATTATTGTTCAATTTATTCATTAAGAAAAACCAAAAAAACTTTCACAAAAACATAATTATTCATCAAAGTTCATTTTCATAAAAAACAATTTCAATCTGAATCAACATGAAATCCTTGTATTCGAGAATTATCCCAATTGACGACATAGAGGTTACTTTGCTGGTCGAATGATAAACCTTGGATATAATCGAACTGATTTGCTTGATTTCCTTCTCCGTTTCCACCAACAACAATACAACCTTGTTTAGATCCTCTAGTCCAACGCATTATTCGATTATTCTCACCGTCAGCTACATAGATATTATCAAATTGATCGACAACCAGTCCATGAGGTGAAGATAATTGTTTAGGACCATTACCAGGACCTTGTCCACCAGCAACTACAACACCTTCTTTTGCACCTTTCATCCATTTCATTACACGATTATTGAAGAAATCCGACACATAAACTGAATAATCTTGATCGATAAAGATACAGGAAGGACCATCGAATTGATTGAGATTATTTCCATTTCCATTTCCACCTGCTACTATTGTTCTATTTTTATCTCCTATTTTCCATCGTCTTACTTCATTCTTCTTTCTATCAGAGACATAAAGATCTCCATTATTATCCATTATTAGACGAGAGCAGTCAATATCAGAGATGATTATTTGTTGATTTATACTACTTCGACGAGGCCATTGTATCACTCATCTGTTTCCTTGGTCGCAAATGATAAGAGAATCATTCTTTTTATCAACAATTACATCTGTTGGACTATTCAATTGATCAATTCGATCTCCTTGTCCGTTTTCACCGGCAATAATATGACATTTCTTGTCCTCATAGTTCCATTGAACAATACAATGATTGGAACAGTCCGCAATATAAATACTTTGATCATCGTCAACATAAATTCCACAAGGATGAAAGAGTTGATTTAATTGGCTGCCATGTCCATTGCCGTCAGCAATAGTTACATCATTTTGTATCCATTTAGTATTGCTATTAATGTTCATAGAAGGGCGTAATTGCTCTAAGAAACAGAAAAAAGATCTAACGGTAAAACAAAAAAAAACTTTGATTGAAGCTTTTCTTGAATGGAATTGATAAAAATAAGAAAAGAAAATTCTCTGTTGAAAATGAATAATAGTCAAATAATTATTTGCACAAAAACGAATTATTCAAATGATGTTTTTGTTTAATCAGCTGGAACTGTAATTCATATTGAAATACAATTTGGATCATTAGGAAAATCTTTCTTGCTTTTTTTTTCTAAATTTAAAAAATATTGAAAAGAAAATATTTTTGATTTTTCTCTATTTTCTTTTTTTCAATAAAATTTGAACCTCTTTTAAGAGTAAATATCTGAGAAAGGCAGTCACTTAGGACATCGACAATGGGGTGATATTCTAGAATTCGCTAATTTTTTGATATGTGATAGAGGGTTGTGAGTTTATCATGCCCTGAAATTTTGAGATCGATCCAATTCCTTTTTCCTATACAAACCTTGAAAATACTATCGGAATTTTTTGGTGTCATTTGTTTAATTGTGTTTAAAACAATTTTCGGAAGATTTTTTCCAGTAAAACTGATTTTCTTTCTTCGATTTATGACATTTTTGACCTCTTATTTGTCTAACCATAACTATTGAGGTATTCTTCTTCTACATACAAAAATTCAGATGTTTTCGTCAACCCTATGAAATCTTTTGAAATACCAAAAAAGGCCTGTCTTGCCTTTTTTTTTCTATGTTTTGTTGGTAAAATGTTGCTGAACCATATTTTATGCACCAACAACCAATTGTTGGACTATTTCTACTAGTGATAGAGTGCATCAATTTCTACCATCTAGAATATCTCACAATTTTCTCCCATGAGAAACATGAACAACTTCTGATAAATGTCATCTTGGATGAGAATGTGTGTACATACCTTTGTATTGACAAGACACACACACAGTTATATCCACCCTACATCCACATCCAAGTATACCTGTGAGTCATAGGTATACTTTTCTTCACCACATATTTATCGTGATTTTATAGATCTATCTAAATCATTTTCTTAGAAAAAGTTCATGAAAAATAATGTCTATTAAAACTTCTTCGTGAATTCATTGAAAAAATTTGCTTAAAAGATAAAAATATTGATCAATCGTCTTCACAAAATATTTAAGTAGTATATTCATCAAAACTCATTCTTTTATCACTTTCAGTTTTAGTTAAGCTTTCGAAAAAAAAAATTCACTTGCTTATATAAATTGATCCTCCTCATCAATCTAGATATAACTAATACACTTACGAGATGATCTAATGATAGAAATTTTCTTAATAAAACATGTAGAATCTTGTGTAATTGAAACCTTAGGTGGTTGATCAAGGTCTTTTTTTAATTGTGTTAATTTTTCTTTTAACTGATTCAAATCTATTTCATTAAAATCATTTTCTTGACGAGTTTGTCTTAATTGATCAGTTAATTTGACTAAGTCCATTTCTAGTTGATTAAAATATTTGTTTGTATATT